AGAGGGACATGCTCACAGCGATTAGAAGCTGTTCCGTTCGTTGTCTGTTTTGTGTCTCGCGCAGGGTTGCCCTGGTCGTGCTTGCGCGGACGGCGGCACGTACAATAAAATTGCGTGTGCAGGAGTGCAGGAGACATCCAAATCGAGAAAGAAATCGAAAGATACACATTGTGGCACACTTGACTGTGAAACAAACAAAACTGAATGTGCGTTACAATGTTATAATTCTTGTACCGCAACAGGAATACTCCTGAACGTAGTTCATGCTCAAGTCATAGCGGTTGTTTGTCAATAAACCCTCGCTCACATTACCACCTTTACCGCTGGCTTCAGGGTAGACAAACGTTTGTAATTACATCGTCGCATGGAAACCCTTGCGTGCAGGTAACGCCTGTCTGTGAAAGCGAGTTTGAGGGATCCGTCAAAAGGCTTGAGTCCAGACATAACAGCGCCTCCGTCGATACAACAGGCGACAGTACCGTCTACCACCACAGCCGTCTAACAGCAGCAGCCTACCGATGGCTGTCTCCAGCGCGCTCTTGCACTCCCCGAAGACCTTCCTCGTCCCGCCCGCAACCTCCTCCTTGAGGCCGTGTCCCACAAGGAGGACCTTCTCCTGTGCACCCGAGATGCCCTCCAACACTCGGCGAAGCTCGGCCTCGGCATCGACCCTGGCCAGCCCGAGGCGGTCTCGTTGCAGCGAGGCCATCACTGCCGCCGGCGCCGCCGCTGACTCTGCCTCGTGCATGGTGGCCTCGTCCCCGTCGACCTTGTCCTCAGCATTGACGGTCGTGAGGGACGCCTCCTGCTTGTACGGGTAGACAGCGGGGGTGCAGAGGGCAGCAGGAGCAAACATTTCATGTTATTGGTGGTTAGCACTCATCAGTAATAGGTCATTTACCGGGAGGCAGTCATGGCTTTGGTGTCCAAGGGATGCATGTGGGTGCAGAGGAGCGGTGTACAGGGATACGGCACGTCTGGAAGATGGAGACAGACGTTCAACGGTAGAATACGACGGGATGAATCGGACGTGTGTATTGTTGGTTGACTTGGAGTGACCAGGTAGCGTTTCGACCTTGACTCCACAAAAGGCGTATGTGCATGCGCGTGTCTTGGTATACTTGAATGTGCCTGCTTCCTTCATTTGCGATTTCTGTTGTTTGGCTCAGAGGAAAGCATGTATGGGGTATGTAGCGCCAACCAGGGGAAAATATAGAGTCCACGTGAGGTACCGCAACGACAAAAAGCAGAGTTTTCAAGGGCAGCGAAAGCAAAAGAGCACAACATAGTAGTGACTCACATCATGGCATTGGAAAGGGAGAAAGAACGACTGCTGTGAAGGTAACGCCGTAACACTGGTTGCGGACAAACTAAACGAGGTATTGTAGTAGGTCGAGGGTCTCACAACAATACCGCTTCCTGTCACATGTCCCGAAAGCTCACGACACAGCATGGCGAAATGGAGTGTGGACAAAGCATGAGAACACTCAGAGGGAAGATGTGGGCACTGGCGGAACATACTACAACAGCCTTGGCGAGAAGGAGGAAGCGAGAAAATGCGGATCACACCACCGACCTCCTCTGCAAGCTGCTCGTGAAGCTTGGTCAGGCGTTCGAGGTCTCCTCCCATCTTGGCGAGGGTCTTGAGGGACACCTCCAGCCGGCGGTCCTTGAGGATCTCCATGCCCGCCTGTCGAACGTTCGCGTTAGCGTCGAAAAAAAACACGAAGTGGCCAGAAAGAGAATTAATGGAGGTAGGTGCATGTAGAGGTCGGGTACAAGCGATGTTCCATGAAGCGAAATTGCAAACCACAATCGAGCTATGATTGGTCGTCAAAGACAGAAGAAAAAAAGTTCAGAGCTCAATTTCGATCGCCTAACTCTTTGCCGCGCCTACCTGCAACATGGACTCTTGGAACAGGACGCGGTGGTAGTCCGTCTCCGCACAATCTCTCCGGGTCTCGCTCTTCTGGATCCCGTCCCCCTTTTTTGCCGAGCAGAGCCACTCCAGCTCTTCATCGCCCTGCAGTTCAGACGATATCGACCGGCCAGACGAAAAGCATCCAGGGAAAACACATGCGAGCAGGAAGTAATTTGTTGCCAGCTCCTAAGAAAAGGCGAGCTAGCAAGAAAATACGAGACAGTAGGCGGTAAAGCACCGAGGGTGGTAAACTATGGCACCTGTACAGGGAAGGGACACATACTGGAAGCAAGGAACCCTTACAAAAGCCCCAACCCCAAGTCGTCTAGACGATAAACCGACGGCGCACTGCATGGAGAGGTCGAAAACAGAAATGCTCAAAAGTAGGCCGGAGCAAGACGACTCGGGGTTGCCGTGTCGCGAGCTGTGGGCATCACTGCAGGAAGGCAATCGCCACAAGGCTGCTACGCACGTCTGCTGTACTGCCACCGGTAGGGTCATTGCTCTTACCACTACAGCCGATGAAAAAAAAACAGTCTCAATAAAACAGAACAAGGTCACCTTTCCTCTGATCTTTTTCAACATCTCCAACACAGTCCTGGAAAAAACAGAGCAAGTTCACCTTTCCTGCGATCTTTCTCAAGATCTCCAAACAGTCTCGAAAAAAACACAACAAGGTCACCTTTCCTGTAATCTTCTTCAAGATCTCCAGTCGGACGATGGTCTTCTCCCAGGTGCCGAGGGATGGCCGGCCGTCCCGCTCGCCACCGCCATTCTTGTCGGCCTTCTGCCGTCCCCGGCGACCCGCCGCGTCCTTCGTACGGTCGGGATTGCTGGCCCCTGCTGTCGTCGATGCCCTGAGTTGACGCTCCCAGGCCATGTGGCGGGAGGCGGAGACCCTATTGCAGAAAATGGTGACGTCATATTGGGACAGAAAACGAAGTGTACCACAATGCTTCAGTATGCTATCTTGCGAAATTGTCTTGCGAATCATGTCCCAAGGTTTGGAAGAGGCGCAACAGGTTGAACAACAAAAAGCGGGTGTGGTACTGACTTCGTTCGGCCACGTACCCGTATCAGAAGCAGTTGGCCGCGCGCGCGTCGCACACAAGTGGACAGGCTGAAGGGGACGGACGATACGGCGAGTAAAAAAACAAAGGGTGCGTCCTTTCGTGTACACGGTAGCTATCGAACGTGTGCCATCCCTCCGTGTGGACTCAAACGTGCAGCGGCAACAACGCCCGCAGAAGTAGTATACAACCATCACGCATCAACCACTCACCCGGGTGTCTCACGCTTCCTGCCGGGGCTTCTCCCACTGCCCCCGTCGCCTCCTTCGACCACCCTCTTCGACTTAGGGGTACCCTTAGGCCTCGATGACGTTGACTTGACAATTGACGTCGTCTTCGAAGGTGCTTCCGCTGCCGCTTTCGCCCTAGGGTACACCTTTGCCGCAGGCGTCCGTCGCTCCGCGGCCTGCCGGTGGGACTCGGTGGGCTTCATCGCCCATGCAGACTGCCTGATCTGCTTCGAGGTTGCGGCGGCGAGCTGTCTGCACGCGGGCGCGGTGGCAACGGGCCGTTTCTTGCGGGAGGCGGTGAGATTTTTGCGGGGCATCGTGGATCTGACGGTCCAGCTCGTCATCCCTGCTGGAGGAAAAAAACACAAAAAAGGGGAGGCGCCCAGAGGCGGATGTCAGGGTGCGCTAGAATTGCTCTTTTGAACGTGAAACATGGAGTAGCGGTTGTTTCAGTGAGGGTGCGTTACAATTGCTTTCGTGAACATAGAACAAAGATAGCGGTTGGTTGTGGTCGTAGTTGTCCGAATGACGGGAGCGAGGATTGTTTGATGTTTCGCGCGCAGTGTACTTTAGTGCCTATACATCGTTGCACACGAAAGGTACTGAGCAGAGACCGGAATTGATGTTTTTGTGAAGACAACAACAATAGCAAGAGGCATGACATGTCTGTCTGCTGTGTTGCTGTCTATGACCTATGGTCTTCGCTGCCGTAGATCGAACATCTCCCGATCAGAAAACCATGGTTGTGGACATGGACACGGTGGTGGGTAGCCTGGTGTCAGGGCAGGCGCTACCTCTTTCGCTACCACTCTCACCGCTACTGCTTCTCTCACCGATGCTGCTGCTGTTGGCGCTGGTGGTGGCGATGGTGTCCTGGTCCATCTCCGCCGAAGAAGAAGCTCGCGAGGACAGCGGTGACGGGATGTCCGTCTCATCGCCAGACTGCACGATATTCTTGTCGTTGCTGTTGCCGCCACTGCCGTCCTTGTCCCCCGGTGTCCTGGAGCCCGCTCTCCCCAAGTTACGGTCCTGTTGGCGTGTTGTTGTTTTCAGGAGGGGAGTAAGCGGGACCAAGGAGTTGAAGAAAAGTGGCGATGTAAGCTGCATAGCGTTTTGCGTAGCGGGAGGACCATATTGAATCCCATCTGTGTAACATCTTGTTTGTGGTGTCAGAGGAGGGATGAGGATTTGCTCAACCCTTGTCGAGATAAAAATTGGAGTAATGCGATGCAGGCTTTTGTGCGGGTTGGGTGTGAGACCTTTCTCAGGAAAACACGAACGCTCAAGGGGTGTCGAACTGGGTTTACAGCAGCAGAAGGTTTTCGATGCGACTTCTCCTGACATCGCGTCGATCGCACCATCCAAATCAAACTAATTAAATACCAATTCAATGCCGAATTATGGAACAAGTACATACACACTCGTTATTTTGTGCCAACAACTTTGAATTCTTTTCGAGATAAAACTGGAGTATTGCAATGCAGGCTTTCGTGCGGGGTGGGTGTGAGATCTTTCTCAAGAAAACATGAACGCTCAAGGGTGTGGAACTGGGTTTGCAGCAGTAGATTTTCAATGCGGCTTCTCCTGACATCGCATCGATAGCACTCCCCAACACTAGTAATTTTGAGATCAATTCAATGCCAAAATTATGGAATAAGTACATCCACACAACTTTGAACTATTGTAATGGATTCTTCGATCTACGCCGTAGTCTAGGCATTTCGCGAAGACTCCACCGATCAGCCGTGAAAAAGGAGATGCAGATGCTTCGCTCGGAGGCCTGGAACAAAAATACGAGGGGTACATACATACGAGAACGCACGCCCTAGAGCGATCGAGAGGCAGTGACATTGTAATAGTAGAAACGGACGCGACAGGCTAGCACATGTAGACTATTTATGTACTCATGGTCTCTCGTGTTGTATTTCGGTTCCTTTTTCCCTCTAAGATAAGCCGAGACAATCATTAACAATGGCTGACAACCCGACATCTCGATCGACCTTAAACGTCTTTCACCGTGCCGCCACGGTGCTTGATCTTGCTCCCGACCCGCGCAGTTCGGTCGGGATTGAGGTCGGGTGACACCCTCAGCGATGTCCTTGATGGCCACCGCTGTGTTGTGATTCCCGGCGCCGGTCTGTAGCTCGTGTTTGCGATCGCATGTCTCACCACGTGAAGACAAGGCACGAACAACAGACCGGGGCGCCAGGGATAACGACGCAGGGGCGGCCAGCACGGCCACGGCTGAGGATGTCAGTTGACGGCAATGCCGTCAATCGAATCGCAAAGGCTTACAGCAGTAGGGCAAGGTCAACCACCGGTGGCAACGTGAGGGTGTAGGACAGATCGATGTCGGGATGTCGGGGGCGAGCCCCATATCTCCCATATAGATCTTCAATAAGATATCGGTTCCTTTTTTCAGATTCAAAGATACCATAAAAGAAACCCGTCTACGTAAATGGTGAGCTTTCGCAGCAGGTCGTCGACCGATCAGCCGTGAAAAAGGAGGTGCAGGTGATTATAGCTTGGATGCCTGGAGCAACAGTGGTGTGAGGGGATACATGCCACATCTACAAGGACGCAAGCCCTACAGCGATCGAGCGGCGACGATTGTAGCATTTTTGGTCTTGCTAGATCGGCCGAGGCATCAATAATTAACGCGAGCTATCTATCGCACATGATACCCATGCATGGCAACACCTGACACCGATCAGCACACGCCTTCACCCGGACCTGCCTATACAGCAGCAGTACACCGTTGAGCCTCACCATGCCGACACGACGGTGCTTGATCTTGTCCTTTGCGACCCGTGCGTTTCGATTATTAGCAGCATGGGGGCCGGGTGTAGTTCTCGGCGACAGGCCTAGCCGTCGCTGCATGCTGATTGGTGCTGATCCCCGGAGGGGAAGCAGGTCCGGGGATTGGCTTTCCTGTGAGGGCGATTACCTGACATGGCTTGACGCGATCCCGCGTCGACAGGTACATGGTGGATGTGTCCTGCTTTACCGAAAGCGTAGCTTTGCTGCGCTTTCAAGGTACAAAGTAGATCTTCTACTGCTGTTGCAGCTGGTTTGTGTGTGGGGGGGGGGGCGGGTGGGCGGAGGAGAAGGGATGGAAAAAATAAGAACCGAAACGTGGGGCCTGATTGGATGGCTGATCGCAGTCCCGCCGCACGCGGCGAAAATGGAAATCGGCTTTCTTCATGTCGAGAGGTTTGAATTTTCAGGTGCAAACTTGACTGTCTCTCGCCAGCAGAGAGCACACGTGGACCGGCTGCGGCGAAGGTGAGAGATGAAAAGGGGTTACATGCCGATGGGGGAGGCCTTCGAGTCGGTCCGCGAGATTCAGTCCGGTACAGCGACAGAAGAAGAATGAAACTCGCCTATTCTCGTGTATGTACCTTGCCTCCCCCGGAGAGCGGGGTAGAGAGGGCTCCGCGGCAAAGGGGTAATGCAAGACAATGCAAGAACAGATGCTGTACACCTGCATATATGATATTGATATCTAGACTTCTTCCAAGGGCGGCGTTTGCGCCGCTTTGGGAGCTTTTCCTCCGACATAAAGATTAAAGATTCTCCTGTACGAATTTGACTGCTGCGAGAGCAACAACCCTGGAACAATTTGTTGTTTGTTGCGCCCACATGCAGATCACCCGACCCCCGCACCCAGAGCTCACCGATCTCTCTAGACCAAAGACCCGCTACACCCAGAGTGCTAACTACCACGCCAGTGTCATCACAATCTCACAATAAACCGGCCAGCCGTGGTGTCATTATCGCTGTTGCCTCATGCTTATTGATAGTTAATAGGTGATTAAAAGAAAGCACGCGTTGTCTCTGTTTTGTTAGGCGGATTTTTCTTGATTGAAACCTCGCATTTCCTGCCGCAATACCGACGTCGGTCCCAACCTGAGGCTCGGCGATCTGCATGGTCTGCATTGTTCTGCACCTTTCCTGATACCGCCACGACATGGCTCGACTGCTCTGGAAACTACATATTTCTGCTTACTGGTTGCAGCTGCTGCAGCTGTGCACACACAATGAATGCTGACGTGTGAACTTGCTTTTTGACATCCATGGTGTTTGACACTACTGACGCATGCATGTGCACACGTGCGTACAGAGTCTTACCGCCCAAAGAATTTTCTTGAGAGTCTGGGGAAGGTTTCACAAATATAGTCGACCGTCAACACGCGAGGGCAGAGGAGAGGCGCGCGTCGGCAGTTGTCAACAACGAAGAGCTGGTGAGCGGGGTGCATAGAAGAAGCCGAAATCGAACCGCTGAACTACTGTACTCAGCGCTGACTAGTCTAATGGATTGATGACAGCTTCTATCGTGCTCCGGCGGCTTCGAGAAGGCGGAAAGGGTATAAAGGAGGATTCGAAGGACGGAAAGGAGACCAGTCGAGGCACAGATGAGGGGGAACCACGAAGAGTAATATCGTCGGACAAAAGTATCTCGCGGATGACGGTGGTTGAGGCTAGTGGGGGGGTTTCAAGTCTGTGTGTGTTTTGTATGTTTTCGTCCTATTTATTATGGCGACAGTCCCCCCATTTTTCGTGGTGAGACGAGTACTACACGTTTCAGCGCATGTAGCGTACTACACTTGTCAGTGTATTTTTTCGTACAACGACAACCATCCAGGGTCACACAAGAGGGGGTAAACACCAGGGCTTTTTTCTTCTTTTTATTTCTTTTCATGCCCCACCTTCCTCCTGCGGTGCGTGCTGAATTTTATTTTTACCGCGAGAAGGGTCCAGCCGTCCCTTTCCTTCGTCAACGGTGCTAACGTCGAAGTTTGGTACTCACGAGGGCTTGTCAGCGATATTTCGCTTTCACCCGCACATTTCGTCAATTTTCACCCCATCCATGGGGATTCGAACTCACGACCTCTGCGACTAGCGGATTACGAGGATACCACTAGACCACCGGGGCGACGGGATGTCCAAGTCTGGATGAAGCGGGGGGGCGCGGCGGGTTCAATCTGCGGCAGTCACACCAACGGCCGAATCAAGGCCTTCGATGTTGTCCTCGAGGAGACGTCGGGCAGGAACGTATGGGGATACTGCCGCTGTATACATGTAGCTACTGCTTCCCCCTATCACGGGCCTCAGTATCAAACAGCGCCATGTCACGACATTCGTTGCGGGTTCAGTGTGGAGCTAGTCCGACCACTGGATATGTTGTTGATGTCGTTATTACAGGCTGACCCCACAGGGCCTGGTTATTACTGTAGAACATGCGAGGAAGAGAGAGGTGCGCGGGCCCGCTCTTGATAACTAGAAACAATAAAAACAGAACCTACTGTTGGGGACCCCGAATAGTCAACAGGCTATCTTGGGGTTCCTCCGAAAATTATTCTGGCCGTTTGCTGACAGTCCCGTTCGGGAACGTTGTTACACAGCATGTGATCTCTACTCTACTACATCTATATAACCACGCGTCTGCCAGCTACTTTGCCTGCTGATACTGGTAACATTTTACATACAGCGCACTACAGACCTAGCGTGCACACACAATCAATCCTAGTGTCATCGCTTGGGTACGACTACTTCTGTCTGTGTTGCCTACAGCGAACACGTAAGAAATATCCCTCACAGAGAGAGCCTGGTCCGGTGAGAACCCGGCGTGCTCTGTCTCGCCTTTGTAGGGATGCGAGGTCAACAGTCTCACGTCTACGGCATGCACGACTATGAGTACACCCTCTCCCACCTTCGCTACAATCGGCGCCGAATCTTGTGGAAGATCTGAGCCAGGGGAGGGTGAAGAAACGGCGGAATCACCCCCTGCAGGTGCTGTGCTTCTTGGGAAAGGCAGTAGAGGGCGCCTTTCCGGATATAGAAGTCAACAACGATAACGCCAACACCAACACCAACACGACCCTCCCCGGATGCGTGCCGAGGTCAGAGGCGCAGGGCGATCTAATTCTAGAGTTATATCTAGCGTTCAGTAAATCTACCAGGTACACGATTTCAACACTCTCTTATGTGGGATAATCTACCCCAGAAATAGATCATGTAAAAAAGTCAGTGTAGCCAACAAATCAAACGGTTTTTCGCCTACCACAGCTATATACATGCTCGTGTACGTTTGTGTGGTCTCCCTCCTCGCTGTTATAAGCTCTTCTTGATGCCGCTGGGTGCTCGTTATGGACACTGAGTGTGGGTTGACAGTGCGAAACGAAGGATTCGGTACAACCGTGAATCCGTGGTTTGTGGAAGCGTTCCGGAAATTTCGTGGAAGAGCGGCGAGATAATAAGTGGTACACGGGGGTATAGCTATACACAGGGTACAAAGAAGAGAGAGAGTTTGGCAGAAGCTTTTGGGATCCTTGGGAAGCCGAGGACCTCGAAGGGAAAAACGTTGCATCGCCCGCAAAGGCAGTGCAGCAAAGCAGCAGCGAGAGAAAAGAGTTTTCGTTTGGGACTTGATCGAATTTTGATCCTGTCCTAGACAGGCCGGAGTGATGAACAACGGCAACAACCCGCAGCAGCAGGGTCAGGGTCCCCCCCAGCAGCCGCAACCA